TTCATATCAGGTGTGTTGGAGCAGAGAAACAAGTAAAACCTGCAGGACTGCGGCCCTCGAGGACCAGGATTGCCCATGCCTGTCTTAGACGGAGCTGAGTTTAGTTTCCACAAAAATATCAAAAGCTAGCTAAAAGCTAAACTTAGCAAAGGGGTAGGTAACAGGGCAAGAACTTTGATCTAACAAACGACATCATGTGCTAGAAAAAGCTTGAACGAGCTCAGAACRGCAGCTGAAGGAACTCACGGCCGCGGCGCAGGAGTGGAACATTTTYCGAACCCCTCGGCACATCTCGAACAGCAGCTGACCCGCTCCCTCCRCCTCGTCAGAGTTCTGCTCCAGGCCCGAGAACATGAGGCCCAGCAGGGCGTCGAGATCTGGAACCTGTGGGGGACGATACGACGAGAAAAACAAGTCACRCGAGCAGCCGGTCGTGCTGTAAAGAAAAGAAAGGTTTGTTTAACCCACCTTTCTCATCAAAAAAGAAAAACTCTCAGCTGCAAACTTGCAGATGTGTTCCTTCTTGTGCGCCAGCATGGTGCTGTACAAACTGCACAAAGATGCTTTTATTAAATCTGCTCTGATGTGTCATATCAGAGTGTGGAATAAAACAAAAAATAAACGACTGACTGATGTTCTCACCTGTACACGTTGCTCATGTCCTTCACCATGAGCCTCCACAGGTACTTGAAGATGTAGGACAGCGAGGTGAAAGCCCACTCCAGCAGCTCCGTGTCCTTGGTGTCCAGCAGCGACGTGATCAGGAGGAAGAAGTCGGGGAAGTGTGGGTAAAAGTCCGTCTGYAGGTCTCGGGCCAGCTGCACCACCAGGCTGGAGGAAAACAAACGTCTTTGAACCTCGCTGAAGCCAAAACTGACAAAGCATTATCTATAAGCCAAAATTAGTAGCTAAAAATTAAAATGGGTTAACCCTACAGCTAAAGATTAAATTAGCAAACCAGTTAAGCTAAAAATAACAAAAAGCAAAAACATTGCTTATGATTAAAATCAGCAGAATTGTAGCTAAATGCTAAAAGGTGCAGAAAGCTATCCAAATGTAGCAAAACCATAGCAAAATTTAAAATGAGCACAATAGCTAAAAGCAATCAAACCAATTAAATGGGAGCTGGAAGCTAAAAGTAGCAAAATGTTAGTTAAATGAAGCAAAACTGTAGCGAAAAGGTGCAGAAAGCTAGCTAAATGTAGCAAAACCATAGCTAAAATTAAAAATTAGCATATTAGCTAAAAGCAACCAAACTAATTAAATGAATGCTGGAAGCTAAAAGTACCAAAACCATAGCTAAAATTAAAAATAAGCATATTAGCTAAAAGCAACCAAAACAATGAAATGGAAGCTGGAAGCTAAAAGTAGCAAAACGTTAGCCAAATGAAGCAAAAAAAGTAGCGAAAAGGTGCAGAAAGCTAGCTACATGTAGCAAAACCATAGCTAAAATTTAAAATTATCACATTAGCTAAAAGCAACCAAAACAATGAAATGGAAGCTGGAAGCTAAAAGTAGCAAAACGTTAGCCAAATGAAGCAAAAAAAGTAGCGAAAAGGTGCAGAAAGCTAGCTACATGTAGCAAAACCATAGCTAAAATTTAAAATTATCACATTAGCTAAAAGCAACCAAAACAATGAAATGGAAGCTAAAAGTAGCAAAATGTTAGCTAAATGAAGCAAAAAAGTAGCGAAAAGGTGCAGAAAGTTAGCTACATGTAGCAAAACCATAGCTAAAATTTAAAATTAGCATATTAGCTAAAAGCAACAAAACCAACTAAATGGAAGCTAGAAGCAAAAAGTAGCAAAATGTT